CCGAGCTCTCTAAACTGTTTATATTACAAATTTATATAGACCTTAAGGGTTGTGACTTTTCCTGTTTAATCATATCTGGGATCTCCAGTTATTGCCCACAGTTGCTTTGACTCTGTGGGCTTAGCCATTCTTGCTGCTTTATGACCTAAAACAGCAACCAGAGGCATCATGCGTGGCTAAGAAGAATGTGCTTTCATACCTGGTCCACAAACCAATTTAAATGTGTTTCTCTAAGTGAGAGCAAGAACTGACTGTTTTTGTGTGTTTACTCTCTAACTGCACCTGAACTCAGGCTCCATCCCAACAATAGAGTAATTTTCTGGAACCCTGCACTCCTAACCCAGTTCTCACAACGTGTTAACAATCATGAGGAAAGTAAACACAAGAAAATAGGAATCCTTATCAATGTCATGCCATCATTTTCATATAATCCTTTCATTAAAAAAATTATCATCTTTTCCATGTTCTTGTTGGCAGCAAGTTGATTTACAAATGCTAGCTATTGGCTAATATGTAGCTTTGGAAATGTCCCTAAACTTCTTAGGAACTTAGTTTCCTTCAATGGATTAATCTGAATACACTCCCAAATGTTTTCACTTTCAACGGAGGAGCTCTCAAATGGGAAGAGTCTGTGGTGCCAAGTAAAAGCGGTTGTTAAAATCACAGTCTGAGTTTAACAACTCATTTGGTTTGAGGTCAAAGTCTTTGTTCTTGTTTAGCACTGAGTATAAGCTCACTAGATGCAAATCGCAATATGGAAGCAACGTATAAAAAGAACAAGTCCCAGCCAATAAAAAAGTTCGCTTACTTTTACTTTACACAATATCTCACTGGCTGCCTTTAAAATATTTCCTAAGCCGGTTTGAGGACATCATGGAAGAAGCTAAGCTCATCCTGGCCTTTGCACATTTTGCTTCTGACAAGAAAACAAAATGATGTTTTTGTTTTTGCATCAGAAAATTTATTTTCAGCAAGTCCTTAAACTTCCTCCAAAATATACATTTTTAAAAAAATGCTGGCAAATGGTCGTTTCAAAATACGTGTTGTATTGTGGATGCTCTCTTCTGTTTTCCCCTCACTGTCTCTTGTTTTGGTCTTTTGATGTGAGTAGAGGCTCAGCAGCCACAGTCACTTAATGGAAGTGAATGGCATTTTCAGAGACCCAAAATTTTCATCATTGAATCTATTTAGAGAGGCTGCACAGAGCCATTCTTCCTCTAATCTCCTACTGATTTTCAATGCAAATACTGCCAGCATTGCTCATGGCCACAGGATTTAGTTATGCACTTGACTGAAAACCATGTCAATGCAAATTCAGAGGATAACCGGCATGCAAATTCCTAAGGCTTCAGCAAGTTACAATTCAGCCACAGTATTAGCAAAACAAGATAGCAATTATGCAAGGAATCAGCTGAAAGGTTATTTTTAATTTAAAGTTTTTGCATCTTTACAGCTGGGAAAAATGAAACCCTGCCTATTCTTTCTTATAAAACCCACCCGGTAGAAACCATAAGACATATGGTACATTATGACAGCCATGTTCTAGTATGAGGCACACACACATATGTACACTCACACAAACTGCTGCTAGAAGGCTAGAGGGACTTCTGATGAGGATAAATTGTTTTATTTTCTTCCACTGTTTATTACTGATTTCAGAGACCAATATATAATTAGCATCCATTAAAATCTGCATATTTGAAAGTATCAGTCCTGAGCAATTTGCCCTCATTTCTAAACTCTTATCTCTGGTCTCACCATTCCTCCTTCTTCTTGCTTCTGGGTGCTGTTGCTGAGGTATCTTTTGCTATGATGGGTAAAGGAAGTGACTTTGCCTTTCATCACGGTCCAGGGATCTATGCTGTGCTCAGAGAATTCCAACCTGAATTTATGACTGATGGAGCTATTTAATTTATTTAGAGTCTAGAAAAATTAAAGCCATCCTGTAATGTACTGTCTCTAAAAAGGTAACAACCATCTGTTCATGACACCTTGCATTTCTCCTGAGTCAGGGGCAGGTGATGCAAGTTTCTTTTGCAATATTTTCGTGAGTCAAGAAGAGCAGGCACAATTCTGGAAAACAGGGGAATTGTGTGATCACTTTTAAGAATTACTGTGGTTGACAATAACAAACAGCACAATTGAGATCTCAGGGCAAGCCTGAGTCTCAGGGTCTGGGTTGGAATCCAGGGTTTCCTCCTAACCTGTTGGGTGAACTGGATAAGTCACTTAGCTCCCCAGCTTTCCAATGTTTTCCCATAAATGTCAACACCTTCCTTCTCAAAGCATGGCCTGTGGTCCAGCAGCATTGACATCACTCAGGAGTTTGTTGGAGAGCTGTGGAATCTTACCCCAGCCCACCCCCAAACCACTGAATCAAAACCTGCCTCTTAACAGTCATCGGGCTATTTGAATGACTGTTAAAATTTGACAGTCACTGATATGTAATACAATAGGTTTCCTGTAAGTGGTAATTTTATTCATTTATTGAGTGTCTACTATTTCCAGGATGCCCACTGGACATAACAGAAAATGGAAACTAACATGTACCGTTGTTCTCATGGTAGGAGAAACAGACTTGAATTTCACAAATAAAAGTCTAATTGAAGATTGACAAGAGTGCCCTGAAGATCTTGAATGAGGCCTTATGATCATGAGAAAATTGACCTGGACAGGGGTGTGAATGAAGTTGTGTTATTAAAGTGTGTCCAGAGCTGTATTCAGGAAGACACTTGTCATTTCTTCTTGTCCAGAGCATTTCAGTTTTAACAATTTAAGTGTTAACCAGTCTTATACTTCTGAATATATGTTAGTTTCTTTTAGGATTATACATTATTTTTCTCTTATTTGACATTGAATCCTGGACTTCTAAACAACTGTGTGTCTTGCATTAACTCAGCAGACATAAATCCCTCACTTTCCTCCTTGGTAGGGGTTCTCTCCAAACGGGTATTTAGCCTGGTAGGGGACAGGTAGCTCGTTACTAGTTCAGACAACAACTGGAGCATCCACTGCTACTTATGGTATTTTGAAAGGTCAAGCTCCCTCTCTGGACACGTTATATTATAGTAATTACTTTCCCTTGGTCTCTCCTCCTGTAAGTACTGTTCTTAGGCTCTACTGAGTCCTGACCTGCCCACCCAAGCCTCCTGGTTCCTGAGTTACCATATTAAGAGTAATGGAACAGCCACACTACATAGTAACAAATCAAGACAGAGAGTGACTAGACTCTTTCCAGAATCAAAAATACGAAAGATGTCCCGAACCCAATTCTATCCACCAGCTACTGATACTTGGGTGAGGAAGTAATCAGTATTAGAACAAGGACAAGCGCTTACGAATTCTAATTGCCATGGCATAGAATATGTGTCCTAGAAATATTTTATTATTATTAACCCATATTTATAAAAATCCTTTTTCACTGATGCTTATTCATCTTGTTCAGCAGAGTTACTTTGAAATGTAAATCTGACCCTATTACTCTCCCCTGCTTAAAATATGTTGATGATTCCCCATAAAGCCACGTTCACAAAGTTCAGTTTCCTACACATCCCAATTTTCTACACGTTCATTCATTTCCTATGGCCTTTTCACCTGGTATTCTATTCCCCTACCATCTCAAAGACAGTGATTTTCAAATGTGCCTTATTCTCAGGCATCTGAGTTTTTTGTCATTCTCATTATTTGATTGGAAATCTCTTTATTATTCCATTCTCTGGAAAAGTCTCCTTCCTCATTCTGCAGTTACTCATATTTCCTTGATGAGGGCTGTCCTGACTCCCTGTATAGAACTAGGCAATTCAAAATTCCCTAAATGACTTCTATTATCTATTTTGCTGCATCGTACTTTTATTACACAGATATTTCTGGGATTTTGTGCCCATTTTCATATGATATTGTGATTTCAAAAGCAGAGACCCTTATTTTTGAATCGTGTATCCCCAGAGTCTAATACAGTATCTGAAGCATAGCATACCCTCGGGGAAAACGTGTTTAGAACAAAGTCAGGCAGAAAAAATTGTGTACGTTTTCATAAATGAATGAATGCATGCACAGAGGTTATAGGCTATTTCCATCCATAATTGAAAGCAGAACAAAATTAAAAGCCATATCCTTGCACATTACTTGTTTTGTAATCAATGCTGAAATATTTGTAAAATCAACAAAGACAATATGCAGAGGGACACACAAGGCCAGCTCTACCTCTTCTTTCCTGAGTACTGAAATTGTACCATTTGCTTATAATAACCCCTCAAGTGTACATAGAAAAGGTTCAAGCATTTCAAATCAAATGTCATGTCAGGAAATCTATTTTTTATTAGTAGGATAATTTTTGTGTTTCTCAAAGCAATTTGTAAATATTACCTAATCAAATCTACTAGGGCAGACAGGCTGAAAATATTACACTTACGCTCCAGATGACAGAGGCCAAGAGAATAGTGTATGTGAGCATGTGTGTGCGCAAATGTGTGTGTGTGTATGTGTGTGTGTGTGTTAGGCAAAAATCAGCCTCACTATGCTAGAGTCTCCCCAGTGTGTCTGTCTCAGCTCATTGCTTGTCAATAAAGATCACCACAGACAAGATGATTGGACTATAATGTGGACCAATTATTTAAATTACGCTCCTACTAGCTTTTCACACACTGTGTTCATTCTGCGCAATGCTAGAGACTGGTCAACAGAGAAATTTCTCTCTGTCTTCCACTAAATCTTTGTGTCAATCTCTCTCTTTTCAGTGATGGTTTTCTACAGTACTTCCTGCCTCCACAATGGGGAAAAACTAAAAAGTATAAATCATGTACTGTGTTCTCAGAGAATTCACCATTTGATAAGCTGCCAAAACTTGTTTTGTTTCAGTCATTGCTCCCTGATGCATGACAATACATAGTCTAAACTGCACAGGGGAAATACAAGTGTCAAGACGGTCTATTCTATTTGAGGAGGCACCTTCTCTATGTTCTTAAATTCTTCAATAGCAGGACTGCATCTTAGTTTATCTAATTTTTTTTTTAATTAATGAGAGTTTCTTATGTTGCCCAGGTTGGCCTCGAACGCATAGCCTCACCTCCTCAAGCACCAGGTCAACTGGCCTGAGCCACTGCCGCTCCCTCTAATTTCTTATTACCCTTCAGTGAACTTTAATATGCCGTTGGTCTCATTTTCCCTCACAGTTCTCATTTCTGTGTTAACTCATGTTCTTTCTTCTACTTAAACTACCTGCACTTTCTACCTTCTCCGTATACTCAAGATCCACCCATGTTTAATATCCATATTTACCTCCCCCTAAAATAAATCTGTTTCCTGATAATTCTGTTCTATTCCTGAAGGTAAAGTAAATATTACAAAAATTAGCATATAATTACATATTGATTATATTGTAATTGTACTCTCTTTGTTCCAGGTATGCCAACTTGTTTCCCCAAGGATTACCTAAGTTTTGACTTTTACAAATATCATATCTTAAATTAATTTATATCCTCTGAAGACTGAACAATAATAGGGATTCAACAAAAATCCCTTGCTTCAGAGTTGTGGTTAAAGTATTCACTCATTTATTATTCTTCTGCTTACACCAAACACTCACTGCTCCTTATCTCTCTTCATGCGTTTCTCTACGCCTGGAGTTCCATTTTCCCACTCTTAAACTTGGAAATTCTTAGTACTCCTTTAAAGCTCAGGGCACAGAAGTATTTTTTCTTGGTAATATCCAGAATTGATTTGTTTTCCTTTCATGCTTCTATGATACTTTACATAGTATTCTATTTTAACTGTAATTACATTTCCTTATTTTGAGGTTTATAAAATTGTCAAATTCAATACCATCTATGGTAGACTAAGAAATAGTCCCCAATATCCATCTCCTAAGCCAAGTGGGTAAGGGAGTAGGTCATTGCAGATTTGATTAAAGATCTTGAGTTGAGAGTATTATCCAGGTGAGCTCTAAATGCAATCACATGTATTATTATGTAAGGGAGGCAGAGGGAGATTTGATACAGACACAGAGAAAAAGGTGACATGTAGATAGATCAGAGATTCAAAAATGCTGTCTCCTTTGAAGATTGGAGTGATGAAGCTATAAGCCATAGAATGATGGCAGCCACCAGAACCTGAAAGAGGAAGAAATTCTTTTCGAAGTCTCTAGAGAGAGCATAGCCTGATACCTTGATTTCAGCCATTGATATAACCTCAGACTTCTGGTCTCCAGAACTAGGAGAGAATAAATTTCTGTTGTTGAAATCCCCATAATTTGTCATATTGTATTACAGTGGCCATGTCTCAATTTATTTAATATTCATTTATTTGAGACAGGGTCTTACTGTGTTGTCCAGGCTGGAGTTTAGTGTGCAGTCACAGCTCACAGCAGTCTGGAACTCCTCAGTTCAAGTGATCCTCCTGCCTCAGCCTCCTGAGTAACTAGGACTACAGATGTGCACCACCACGCTTGGCTCAATCTATTTTGTATTGTTTGCTCTATCTCCTGCTGTTAGCATTATACCTTCCATATAGCAATACATTTCAGAAATGCTTTCTGACCCCCTACTATGTGCAAGGTGATATGCTAGCTGCTTGGCAATTTCACTGTAATAAGCATTTTAAAGGCTACATTTGGTATTATAATTTTTTTATTACATATATATATATATATATATGAACTTAAGCTTTTCCTGAAAGTTCACATTTGAATATCCAACTGTCTATTTGACTTCTCTACTTGCATTTTAAAACAGTGCCTCCAACTTAAATGATTGAAACCTCACTCCTGATACATTCTCTGCAGTTGTATTCTCTGGAGACCACACTTCTGCTTCTCTGTAAGTTACTCTATTAACCAAATGTACAAGCCAAAAATCTTCCTTTCTTCTCCCTCCGCATCCAACAGACCTCAACAAATCCTCTTGTTCCTGTCTCAGAATCACATCTTATATTCATTTACTTCTCTCCATCATCACTGCTATTAATTATTTTCACACTCTTAAGTACTATAACGGTCTCAATAAATTTCCTTGATCTCACTCTTATCTCTACTCTCTATAAAGTTTTCTGCATTTATTTGCTAGAGTATTCTTTTAGAACCACAAACTAGAGCCAGGAATGATAGCATGCACCTGTAGTTACATTTGCTCAGGAGGCCAAAGTGGGAAGACTGCTTTAGCCCAGGAGCTTGAGGCTACAGTGAGCTACAATCGTGCCGCTGAACTCAACATAGAGTTGGACAACATAGAGACTTTGTCTCTTAAAGAAAAATAATAAAAACAATTTTTGAAAAGGAAACCAGTAGATTTTCTACCTAAAAATATGCCAGTGTCTTACTACTGCAAATTTGGGGTCAAATAAAACCCCAAATTCTTATTTCGTCTCATGGGGCCTGTATCTCAGATGTCATTCCCTACCATTTTTCTGTTGTGTTGATTAAATGATCCAATATTGTGGCTTTATTTTAGATTTTAGTTAGTCAAACTCACTTTTAACTTAAAGCCTTCACAATGGGCTTCGAAGTCTCTGAATAAAATGTTGCTTCCTCACATCAGTTTGGTAACTTATTGTCATTTAAATTCGTATCATAAATTACTCAGTGCCTTCCTACTATAGCCAATTAGAATTATTTGTGCAATGATCTGCACATTTGTCTGTGTCTTTTTTATTGCATCTCACTAATATATAAGTTTCATGAGAGCATAAAGACACTATCTGTCTTATTTATCTCTATCTCCAGGGTCTAAGTCAGTGTTTGGTACATAAAGGTTTCTCAGTAAACAGCTGTTGAAAGAAAGGAATGCAAAAATAAATCAGCTAGTCAATCAACAGCACCCAATCAATGAATTATCTTCAAATTCTAATATCCAAAGTGTACCCAGGTCACCAGCCTGCATTATAACAGGGACACACAAAAATATATTAATATGGCATTTCTTTTCCCCAGTTCACAACAGAACTGTGAAAACAATAGCACAAAAGAGGAGGACCTCTGTATTTCAGGAAGTACTGTCTGCTCATTTCTGCACTTCTGCAAGTGTTATTTAAATTGGTATCTACCTGTATCATTTCTATGTGTCTGGTTTATTTGCCAATACTTGAGGATTTCTTACATTGCTGATTACAGGCCCTCTGCCAATAGTACTACCTGTAGACGCTCTCAAATGTCATCTGTCTTGGCCACTCTGTGTTTCATCTGTTTGTTTTTTCTGTCTCTATCTCCCAGAGACCCCAGGAGACATGCAGGCTCAGCAGAGGGTGACAACGTGACCATGCTTCCCTGTGCTTATCCTTTCGAAGACATTACTCTAACATTAGCCAAACAATTGTCTGCCCCTTTTCACTCTCTCTTCTGCTGCAAAAAGTCCCTACTCTTTTCTACAGCTTGTACTGTAGGTCCTCGTCTACCTTTCTGAGGCTGTCTTGACTTCCTACTCTGACTACTCATAAAGAGATCAAAGCTAGTACCAACCTAATGTTTGCTTTCACTTCTTTCCTCTCCTTTCTCTTTCTACTGAAGTTGCTTTGGGTGGAGATTTGAGAATTTGTAGATTGGGCTTAATGCTTATTTAATTATTTTATTAGAAGTTTTTTATTTTTTACAAAAAATTATTGTCTCTATGGTTCTTTATTCTCATTTTTCTACTTACCACACCCAAATTATTTAAACATAAATAAATTGTGTAGAATAAGACAAATAGTAGATACTCAAAAAATAGAAGATATTATCTTCATCATCATCATCATCATTATTAAATGCAATCAAAAAAGCAAAACCTAATTTTTATTCTAAATTTCAGAAGTCTTTTGTTGAATGCTGTGAAAATATAGTGAGTTATCAACGTTTAAAAATCCTTTTTACTTTTTCTTCAAGTTTGAAGCATATAATGCCCCACAGCAAGCTGAAAATAGAATATTCTGTCAGTCAAAAAATTATTCCTGTACATGATGTCAAACATCCGATTTAATTCAATAATTTGATCAATATACCTTTTGAAGTTATGCATACATAGTTTCATGTGCCGTTTAAGCTTGTAGTTTTTGATTACAGAAGAAGAGTAAGAAATAAAAGCAATACCAGCATATGATAGCAATTTTCCTTTGATCATGTCAAAAGTAAGATGTGCATGAAAGATGTGTTCAGGAGTAGTTGATACAGTAAATCCTCTTTCTTTAATTTGTGAATATAGTCTGTATTTTATGTCCTCAATATTGTAACACTGAAATACATTCACTTCCTCAACAAAGTTTTGACAAAGAGCATTCCAAAGTAGCATGCAGCATCAATAGTTACACTGATTACTTTTGATGAATACAGAAGTTTTCATGACACATACTTGGATAAATTATATGATTCAGTTCCGTGCCTTGAAATCTCCAAATTCCAAATAGGAGGAGAATCACCTTTTAAGTTTCTAAAGATTAGTCTTAGATAAACCATATTAAATAATTATGGATAATGCACATTATTTGACAAAATATCCTGAATTGTAAATTGCAATAGAAGGAATTGCCATAAAAATTGACTTCAAAGAATATTATTAGACAAATTCCCAAGGAATTTCTTACCTATTCACTTTAGGAATCAACAATCAGCCATTAAGTTAGTATTTTAAGGCTAAAGCTACTCCTTTTATGTTCATTCATGTGTGTGGGGGGGAATCTTACTATTCTTTGAAGTCAATTTTTATGGCGATTCCTTCTATTGTGATTTGCAATTCAGTATATTTTGGGGTTCCTGATAGTTGCTGTTGCTAATTACTTATTTATCTCCCTTAGATTTATTTTGTCTTAATTGTCAAATAGTTGTGCATTATCCATCATTATTTAATATGGTTTATCTAAGACTAGTCTTTAGAAACTTGAAAGGTGATTCTCCTCCTATTTGGAATTTGGAGGTTTCAAGGTGTGGAACTGAATCATATAATTTATCCAAATATGTTATTCCTCATCCTTAAAAAAAAATGTTTGGTTTTAAAATATAACACAGCTGTCAAAATTGCCAGTTCTTTCTTTCTTTGGTGTATAGGATTATGGAAGACACTGAAGGACATTGGGGACCTATGGGCAGACAGAACATAATAAGTCATAGTTTTGGTTCTGAGTGACTGGCAGCATTATGCCCCAAAGGATT